AAGAAGAGTTGAAACAGTATGGACTAACATGGATGCAGGTGAAAAGTACAGCAGAAGACAAAAGCAAGTAGAGACGTGTAGTTGAAGCCCTATGTTCCACAAGGAATCCAAAGGAACAATAATGATAATAATAATAATAATACCGAATGATTAGTTTTTTCACACAGAATGACTAAATACACCCAAAAAGATAATAAACTTAAATTCAGTGAATAGCGCTCATCAGTGATTGTTATTCACAGTTAGACTGAGTTATATTCAGTGAATTGGTTGATTCAGTTGAAGGCATTTAGTCAACTAGTCTGAGCTGAAATCTGATGGACAATCGATAAGAAAAAACAAACCAGAATGAAATGAGTCAATGATTTATGTATGTCCAAAAACCAAGTGTTCACTTTTTAAACACAGTTTGCAAAAAATTTGGGCATTGGATAGTATACGATATTCATTATAATAAAGGTTTTATTTTGTATTTCCCACTGAATGAAAAACAAAACGATATCGTTGTCGTTTTTAGTGACATTTTGCTATTTAATGCTTCTACTAACAGCTTTATCAAAGTAGTATTACTAAACAAGAATTTACAAAATCTCAGTTTGTCTGAATAGTAAATGATGGACTAAGACAGAATTTGACCTGGTTACAACCCATCCCCCGCCTTCCCCATGAAATGACAAAATCAACACAAATGTGATAAGCAATTTCATCATGTAAACACACGCTGCTTTTATAATTTTACACACTTAGCAATCTCCAACAGTCATCTACACCTGGCCCAAGTGGTCTAGTGGATAACGCTTCGGCGTTGGAAACAATGCGCCCTGGGTTCGAGCCTCGGTGGGAGCATCATCACTCACTGAAGAATACAGTTACATTCAGTCACCGACGGGTCACAAATAGGACGAAATCCGCTTTATCCTGGATTCCACTGATGTACACTATCCACCAGTTAACTTCACATTACCTGGTTTTGTTATCTTTACCAACTGGCCGATTCGACAACGTAAAAATGACCCCATGCTGAGGAACGATGATTAAGTTGTTAAATATACGCTGAGTGGATCTTGTAAATTCTGGTTTAATTTTACCAGTTTGATAAAGCTATTAGCATGAAATAAGCGAGACGTCAGTAACAACAGCGTTATCGTTTTGTTTATCATTCTTTGGGAAATACAAAAAATCCTTTATTATAGGCAACTGCTTTTCATGAATTCTGCCTGTCTGTCTGGATTCAACATAGAACTTGGCACCGAAGTGCAGTAGTTCGAGTTGCTACGTTCCAAATACCACACAAAGGTAGACAAGAAAATGAGTGAAGAGAATCAGTAGAGTTTTGACAAGTATAAGAGTGAAACAGAATGAGGAATGGTAGAAAGGAATATGAAAGATTACAGAGACTGAATACATCTGCGTAGGCCATTGACAACGATTTTCAGCCATGTCACCTATTGTCTGTCTCCAGCCATTGATTCTTAGAGTTCCGAGAGCCCCAACCCGGAAGTCTGTATCTCCCTACCTGACTCAGATTAACTGTCAGGGATTTCATGGATTGATGAGGCCATGTTTTTGTTTGGCCACCAATTACTCTTTTCCAACCAACAACACCTATATCAGCTAGTAATGCCCGTCCGTCGGAGGAGGCGATGGTTAGGCATGCGCAGCCATTTCAATCTATGTAACTTCATAGCCTCTTCGATTGATTTTCCCTCTTTGCCCAACCAACACTCTACGCCTAACGTCAACATTACTTACCATATTATACCACCTAACGTGAGAAAGAGATCGTAGACATCTACGATCAAAAACAGTCAACATTTTCATGTCTTCAACTCGTATTGGCCATGTTTCACAGCCATAGAGAAGGACGAAGCGAACTTCTGAGCAGTATACACGTCCCTTGGTTGATAGCCGGATGTCACGCCTACGCCAGAGATGGCGTAAGTTAGCGAAAGCAGTTCGAGCTTTTTGGATCGGATCCGTGCTGAAATTTCGTCGCCAATCAATCCGTTGGTGCTGATACAACTTCCCAAATAGGTGAAGTGGTCAACATGTTCTATCACTTCACTCCCTATCACTAAGCTAGGGGTAGACGTAGTCCAGTCCTGTAGCAGCATCTTACATTTTACAGAGGGAGCGAATCGCATGCCAAACATACGAAGATTGCTGCTCAAGGTGTTCAGAAGACTGCATTTTGTCAGCATCCTCCCCTAACAGGACTATGCCATCTGCATATTCTAAGTCTATAAGTCTATTCCCTGATAACAAGTCGATTCCTAAGTCGTTAATTTCAGTTATTTTCCTGAATTATAATGTTCTGCCATAGAACATTTCACCAAAACTGCTTATATAGGAATCAGCTACGAATCCTGGGATCTAGCGATGAATGTTTGCTGCTTAATGAAATGTAATGCTGGCTTATTAACGTAAGAGGATGACATTCATTCAACACAAATGGTCTCCATTTTCAACAATCCATCTTTTATCAGATAAAATGTCATAAACCTTTTTCCATTTTTTTGGATTTCAGTTCTGAAGTTTCCGTAACAGTGTTTTCACGAGGTGGGGGTTGGTAGCTTAATCTCCGATCTCTCCTTTTTATTGGGTTCACAATTTGGTTAAGCAGGGTTTAGGAGTGTGTCTGGATGGTAGTATCGAAACAGGATCACGTGTGTGGTTTGTGAGCACTTTACCCCTGAACCACTGACAGACACACACACACACACAACAAGCCTTAAGCCACACGAAATATGGTGGGCAATTTATTGTAAACAAAGTATTGCATAGAATAACTGAATTCCAGTAATTCATTTGATGATCGACATTCTTTGAACTTAATCAATCCGTTATATAGTACAAGCATTTAAAAACTTCAAAAGTAAGGATACATTGGAAAACTTTTTCAATGCACTTCCTTCTTCTTGATGTCAACCAACCAGCGCTGAAATCACTGAAGCAATCAGTTTAACGTTCATCCTATCAACATTAGGAATACTAAAACTCAAATACTATCTAAAGACAGAGTTTTTTTTTTAAATTAATTGATATTAACCAGATAACTTCTATACTGAACATGAAAATGTGATCACTTTTTCTGTATCGTACGGGGTGAAGCCTTCAGATTTCATATTAGGCAACTTATCATTCAGTGTACATCGGTGGCACAACGGTAGAATGCTTGCCAACCACTCATGTGGTTCGGGGTTCGATCCCCGGCCACCGATGCACTCCTTTACCTCGCTAAGCCAGTAATAGGACTGGTAAAGAGGGAAGGTTGGGGGGGCATGAGGCTAGCAATGCTACCTTGAAACTTCAAGCCCCTAGCTTGAAGCCCCTATGTTCCACTGGAAGCGAAAAAGGAATTTTTTAATTTTAAAAAATCACTCAGTCATCAGGTTGACAATATAAAGTTCAAAGAATAAAGTATTATACAATCCTTGAAAGCCATTGATGTGAAAATAAGATCAAGACAAGGCTGACTGCTACCACCGATAATATTCCTAAATTGTGGTGGACTGGACCATGTGGCAAAATGTAACGAGCAAGAAGACAGGAATAGACTGGACCGATAAAGACTCTAGAAGATCTGAATTTCGCGTGTGGATGATTTATGTCTACTGGTCACATAAACTCGAAGGCCTACACAGTCGAAAACCGACAAGTTGGCAGAAGAGGCAGACAGCGAAGACAGGATTCCATTCAAGTGAACACATAGAGAAGACAAAGGTGGTGAAGATAACCAACCAACTAACCAACCAATCCGAACAACAACAACAAAACAAGCGCAAACAACTATCAACGGAAGAAATTTGAAAGAGGTCACTTCGTTCACTTGTCTAAGAAATACAGTTTCAACTACAGGCGACAGCACGGATGAGGATGTCCAAACCAGAATTGGAAAGACAACGGAGACCTTCATTACACGGCATAAAGAATGAGACTTGGATTTCCAATGCTTATGTCCAGCCAATGCTTCTCTATATGGCTTAGATACTTGGTGCGTCATCAAAAACATTCCCAATAGGTATCTGCAGACCTTCATAAACAGCTGCCACCTTCGCTCTTTAATGAGGGTGAGATGGACGCCCAGAGAGAATTAACTAACAAGGAACTTTGAGAATGAAGTAACCAAGATCCTATCGCCCTAATATATATGCCAAAGGAAATGGAGATGGATCTGACACAAGCTGAGGAGACCGATGAGTGACACATCACGAGCCAGACGGTCGAGTGGAACCCGAATGGGGAAATCGTGTGAGGAGCAGGAGGAGATGAAAGTTTATGGACAATTGTAGGCCCAGATAAAGATGACTGCAGAGGACACTAGTTACACGCACTAGTTACTAGTGTCCAATGAAAATACCCACTACAGTCCTACAGGAGGTCAATCGCGAGCCCGAATAGCTAGCTTAGTGATAACCTCTTTGACTGCAGGCGGCACTGGGTGACGCTGGTTCGAATCTCAAAAGGGACATGAGTTCCTTCAAGGTTGCAGATACGCCTTGCTGACTGGTGAGTGCCAACTAGCACGAAACCTAGGTAGTTGCAAGGCTTCCTGTGGCCGATTGCCTCCAACTATCTAATATCATTAAATCAATGTGCACCGTGATGGCGAGCTACCTAGAATGGTGGCCACATTGCAAACCTGACTGACGGATAGAATTCAGTCTGCACCAAGGAAAGGACTAGACACGTCACACTAGTTACTAGTGTCCAATGAAATGAACGTGTATTGTTGAAGCTCTACGTTCTACTCGGTACCCACAAATTGTCAAAAATGACAGTACAGACTACCTTACTTTGAATGGTCCTTTAACTAATATAGAAAGTAATGACACCTACATTTAAATAGACGAAGGTGTGTAGTGGCAAAATACGATTAGCAGAAAACCACGGAAAACACTATGCCATTAGGTAAAACAAAAACGGATTAACTTTTTTCGAAAAAATAATAATAATAAAAGCCAGAGAAAAAGATTTTTTCACATTGGTCAAGAACAAACCTTGAGGTGTAGTAGAACCGGAAGATCTAAATGTGGTTCTAGCAGTTTTTCTGTTTCTTCCAGTTATCGACTTTTCACGCATATCATTGACAATCACCCGACCCTGAAATAAAAAATATACACATACAAGTTAAATGATGATATATGCATATTTCTCATTGTAAATGAATCATTAGCAGTAATCTACATATATGTAAACAAATACCCATTTTCTCATTTAATTAGCTGTTCATTCTCTCTGGATGAGGTGAAACTTGTGCAGATAACACCTTAAGCAGCAATCTTCGTAAGTTTGGCATGCGATTCGCTCCCTCTGTAAAATGTAAGATGCTGCTACAGGACTGACTGGACTACGTCTACCCCTGGCTTCGTGATAGGGAGTGAAGTGATAGAACATGTTGACCACTTCACCTATTTGGGAAGTTGTATCAGCACCAACGGATTAATTGGTGACGAAATCAGCACGGATCCAGAAAGCTCGAACTGCTTTCGCTAACGTATGCCATCTCTGGCGTAGGCGTGACATCCGGCTATCAACCAAGGGACGTGTGTACAGCTCAGAAGTTCGCTCTGTCCTTCTCTATGGCTGTGAAACATGGCCAATACGAGTTGAAGACATGAAAAGGTTGACTGTTTTTGATCATAGATGTCTACGATCTCTTTCTCACGTTAGGTGGGATAATAAGGTAAGTAATGTTGACGTTAGGCGTAGAGTGTTGGGCAAAGAGGGAAAATCAATCGAAGAGGCTATAATGATACATATATTGAGATGGCTAGGTGACGTGCTGCGCATGCCTAACCATCGCCTCCCCCGACGGACGGGCATTACTAGCTGATATAGGTGTTGTGGGTTGGAAAAGAGTAAGTGGTGGCCAAACAAAAACATGGCCTCATCAATCCATGAAATCCTTGACAGTTAAACTGAGTCAGGTAGGGAGGGAGATGCAGACTTCCGGGTTGGGGCCCGGCCCTCTGGACTCTAAGAATCAATGGCTGGAACAGACAATAGGTGACATGGCTGAAAATCGTTGTCAATGGCTTACGCAGATGTATTCAGTCTCTGTAATCTTTCATATTCCTTTCTACCATTACTCATTCTGTTTCACTCTTATACTTGTCAAAACTCTACTGATTCTCTTCACTCATTTTCTTGTCTACCTTTGTGTGGTATTTGGAACGTGGCAACTGGAACTGCTGCACTTCGGTGTCAAGTTCTATGTTGAATCCAGACAGACAGACAGAATTCATGAAAAGCAGTTGCCTATAATAAAGGATTTTTTGTATTTCCCAAAGAATGATAAACAAAACGATAACGCTGTTGTTACTGACGTCTCGCTTATTTCATGCTAATAGCTTTATCAAACTGGTAAAATTAAACCAGAATTTACAAGATTCACTCAGCGTATATTTGACAACTTAATCATCATTCCTCAGCATAGGGTCATTTTTGCGTTGTCGAATCGGCTGTCTACCTTTGTCTACCTTTGTGTGCTATTTGGAACGTGGCAACTGGAACTGCTGCACTTCGGTGCCAAGTTCTATGTTGAATCCAGCCAGCCAGTCTTGTGAAGATGCTTGGATGATTGTCTGAGCATGTAATTAGAATTTAATTGGTGGATGGTGACCAGCAGTGGAATCTAGGATAATCCGCATTTCGTTCTATTTCGGACTCGTTGGTGACTGGATGTACCTGCATTCCCCAGTGAGGGATGATGATGTTCCCACCGAGGCTCGAACCCAGTGCCCGTAGTTTCAGACTGAGAGCGAGCACCGCGGTCCAATCAATCGACGGGAAAATCTAAAAATCAATTAAGTAATTAATATGACCCATTGCACAAGAGGTGGCTGTCGTGGCCCAAATGGTCTAGTGGATAACGCATCGACGTTGGAAACAATGCGCCTTGGGTTCGAGCTTGGGTAGGAACATCATCACTTACTGGTGAATGTAGATAAATTCAGCTGGCGAACGAGACCCAAATACGACGAAATGCGCGTTATCCTGGATTCCACTGCTGGTCACCATGCACCAATTAAATACTGACAGATAAGTACAGATATGAAGTGAACACGGTGTATAGAACAAGTGTGGAAAACAAAACGCGTAGTTGAGTGAAGAGGCTATATTTTCGGCGAATTCATGTTACTCTTGAGCTGAACAATCGCATTTCTATACAATTTTGTTTTCATGAAGATAGTGACATAAAGTAATGAGCTGTCATAATCATCGCTTTATGTATTCACACTATTGTTTTAATCTCCCAACGGGATATAATTTTTTTAAACACATTATATATATACGATTGTGCAGCTAATATATTTGTTGAAAACAGTCTCTTCACCGAATCACTTGTTTTAATGTTAGTCAATGCATAAGAGGAGTTGAAGAAGTGTATTAGAGAAACGTGATCAATTATTATTGTTTCCTTTAATTCCTAGAGGAACATAGGGCTTCAGCCGTGCGTTTCCATTGCGTTCGGTTCTCTGCTAGAGTCTTCACCTGGCTCCAAGTCTGTCCACACATTTTCATCTCCTCTTCACATGACCTCCTCCAAGACACCCTTGCACTGACGACCAACTCACCGCTTCCCTTTCGGGTTCCACTCGAGCAATGGCTTGTCTAGTGATGTCACTTGATGGTTTCCTCAGAGTATGGCCTCCAATCCATCTCCATTTCTTCCTGCCTATTTGTTTCACAATCGAGCGTCGGTGGCATTGCGGTTAGTTCGCCCGCCGACCATGCACATGGTCCGGGGTTCGATCCCCAGCCGACGCACTCCTTTACCTCGCTAAGCCAGAACTAAAAGCTGGTGAAGAGGAAAGGTTGGGGATGAGACTAGCAACCCCATCCTGTAAAATAAACACTGCTACAGAAACTTCAAGCCTCTATCTTGAAGCCCTATGTTCTACTGGGAACGTGAAGGAATAAAAAAAAGTGATCAAACGAATTATTTAATAAATGAGTTGTAGTCAGGATGTACACAGAAATGAAGAAAAATGTGAAATTACGTAAGAGTTCGGATAAATAATACAAAAGTTTTAAGGAGTTGGAGAAACAAACAAACTACAAAGCAAGTTAGCAGAAATTAACAAGGCCGTTACCATGACAGTAGAAGTGGTTGAATAATTTGCTTTTGTATGCCTATCTCCAGTTTCTCTATCTGAGTGACTAGAGCATCGGCAATGCAAAGGAGATGAAAGAATAGCGTCTTTGGTAGTTTGTTCTTCACTTTGTAGATTACTTTGACGGAAGAGGTGAAGAGTAACCTGCCAAAGACAGTACGCGCTTTCATCTCCTTTGCAATGCTGAAGCTTAGGCCATTCTGTTGGAGAAAATTATTGAACCACAATTGTGTTGATTTCCACTAACTTGAATTTTGTTTGTTTGCTTGTTGAACCCTTGTACTTCTTTCGAACTATTACGGAATTTCATAGATTCCTTCGTGTCAGTGTGCATACTGATTACAACTCATTCACTGGATTATTCATCTGATTACGCAACTCTAGCGGCCTTATTCAACTTTTCTTATGCACTGACTATTATTATGATAACTCATTACTTTCGTTGACTATTCCTGTTTCATGAAAATATTTGCACAGGTAAAAAAATGAATTCGCCGAAAAGAACCTCTTCACTGAACTACGTGTTTTGTTAATATCGATGTTTGGATGGGGATTATCCATGAATAGACTAAGTGAAACGCACAATTGAATGAATATGCTTGTGACAAGTCATGACCAGTGGACTGACTGGTTTCAACATAGAACTTTGTACAGATGTGCAGCAGTTCGAGCCGCTACACTCCATGAAGCACACAGAGCAAGAGAAGAAAGTAAAAGGAAATGAAAAATAGAGACAGCAAAGAGAGATATGAGGCGAAAAGAATAGTAATATCGAAGAACAATAGAATTTTATTAGACATGATAAATCTCAAAGCGTGAATGCATCTGCGCAAGCCATTTAGAACGCAAGTATCGAGCCATATCACCAATTGTCTCCAGCCTTCATTGTTTTTTACCATCCCGAGGACCCCAACCAGTCAGGTAGTCTACACTTCCCTCCTCACGTGGCTAGCTTAAACTAACTGTTGTGGATTTCATTGACTGATGAGGCCATGTTTTGGTTTGACCACCGCTAGCAGCTCTTTTCCAACCTGATCAATCCTATGTCAGTCAGTTAACATTTCCCCTCGGTCAGGGAAGAAGAAAGCTAGGCTGGGCGTGCGTAACACGTGGCTTAACCATCTGAATCGGTGTAGCATCATAACCTCGTCGATTGATTTCCCCTCCCTCCTTACCTAGCAGTCGACTCACGCCTAATCTCATTATTACTCACCCTATTATACTGTTTCACACACATGGGAAATAGAAAGCTGACACCTATAATCAAAGACAGCTAGCTGTCATTTTCATGTCTTCCACTTTCAATAGCCATGTCTCACAGCCAGGCATAAAGGAGGATGGGGCGATCTGCTACGCAGTACACACGTCCTCTGGTCGATAGCCAGCCATATATCACGTCTACTAAGCCATATATGGCGTTGGTTGTCATATGTCAACCGAGCCTTCTCTCGGTGCAGGATTTCGTCAGCGATCAACCTGCTGGCGTTGGTTGTTGCAACTCCCCAAATAGCAAGTGAAGTGGTCAACACGCTCCACCAACCACTTCACTCCCTATCTTTATGCTGGGTGTCAATGTAGTCCAGTTCTGTAGGACCATCTTTAATTTGACAGGAGCGAATGGCTTGCGAAACATTCGAAGATTGCTGCCCCTCAAGGTGTTCAGAAGACTCTGCATTTTGTCAGCGTCTTCACCTAGAAGAACTATATCACCTGCATATTCTTCTATGTAACAAGTCAATCCCTGAGTCTCTGAAGTCAGTTTGGGTTAAGTCCAAGTGACCAGTGAAGTCCACCAGCACGTCGTATGTGAGCTCAAATACTCGCCGATGACATTGGTCAGTTGGTAAAAAGTTAGAATTCATAAGCTAGTCTCATTGGATTCCTTCCTTCTGACCAAATGGTCAAAAGGCTAACCACCTTGTAAGCTGAATATTCTAGGTTCGATCTCCGTTGGGGTTCTAGGTATACCCTACAGAAGCGGCG